TTACTGCAGCCCCATAAGGGCTTATAAAGGAAAAACCCACAAAACTCACAAGATTACAATTCCCATACAGTTTCGTTTCACAAGATCATAGTCTGATCACAGAGTGATCACAGAGGGGGTACAGTTACATCAACATGTACATTCTTCCTGAAACCTCAAGGGGGGATATCAGGGCGGGAGTGGAGTTTACACAAAGGACACAGTGGTCCTTCCTGGAACACCTGCAACTATCCCAGTCACAGTTGAGCACATCCTTAACAGAAATCTCTTTACATTGTTATATGGTTGCAGGGGAGATTGAACAATGGCTAAGTCAGGTCGCCCTTGGAACTAGATTTTTAGTTTCTCATTTCCTGGTACTTGAAGCTTCTCCTTTCCTGAGGCTTGGGGGTGTAAGCCTGAAGGGCTAGGGTCTTTCAGCTGCCTCTGCCTTCTGAGTGCTGGGATTAAAGGCGCATGCCACTACACTTGGCCATACTTTTTTTTTTTTAATTTAAAAAACAAAATAAAATCAGACCAAACTGCTGTGATGCACATCTTTAATCCCAGCACTTGGGAGGCAGAGGCAGGTGGATCTCTGAGTTCAAGGCTAGCCTGGTCTACAGAGTGAGTTCCAGGACAGCCAGGGCTACAGAGAGAAACCCTGTCTCAAAGAGAAAAAAAAAAAAAAAAAAAAAAAAAAGGAAAAAAAAAACTTCAAAATGTGTTGGGTTGGTATAGTAATTTAAATGTAATTGGCTCCTATAATCTCACAGGGAGTGGCACTATTAGGAGACATGGCTTAGGAATGGGTGTGGCCTTGTTGGAGGAGGTGTGTCACTGTGGCAGACTTTGAGGTTTCCTATGCTCAGGATATCGCTCAGTATCTCAGTCTTCCTGTTGCCTGCAAGATGCAGGACTCTCAGCTACTATTACAGCACCAGGTCTGCCTGCATGCCACCGTGCTCCCCGTCATGATGATAATGGACTAAACCTCTGAAACTGTTAGCCAGCCCCAGTTAAATATTTTCATTTGTAAGAGTTGCTGTGGTCATGGTGTCTCTTCACAGCAATAAAAACCCTAAGTAAGACAGCTGGGAAGGGTGGCGCACACCTTTAATCCCAGTGCTCAGGAGGCAGAGGCAGAATAATCTGTGAGTTTGAGTCCAGCCTGGTCTACATAGCAAGTTCCAGGCCAGCCAGGGTTATATAGTGAGACCATCTCAAAAAAACAAAACAAATATAAACATGCCCTATATTGTCCTTTTTAAAAACATATTTATTTTATGTTTATTGGTGTTTTCTGCATGTATGTCTGTGTGAGGATGTCAGATCTTGGAGCTATAGACAGTTGTGAGCTGCCATGTGGGTGCCAGGAATTGAAGAGCAGTCAGTGTTCTTAACCACTGAGCCATCTCTCCAGTCCCGCAGGTCCTGTATTGTAACCACAGCTGGAATCTGGGTTCTTCGCCTAGAAACTTCAGTGTAGGTTCTTAAAAAGATGATTCCTAATATGGAAATTTTGTGAACACAATTTCACAAGTTGAGGACCAAGTGGCTATAGGTCTTGGCAATAGCATGGAGAGGACTTGAAGTTTCCCAGGGTGGTAGTGCAGACCCTGGCCAAACATTACAGTAGGTTATACTTGCCAACAGCAGTTTCTTAGCCACGGGAGCTGAGATACCATTGTCTCTGGGGGCAAGGATGAGGTCGCCCTAGCTATGGTTCTGGGTTGCTGCCTAAACCTCAGCAAGGCTGAGCTCTGCTAGTTTTTTCCAGTTTGACGCAAATGTAGACACACCTGGGAAGTGTGAGCGGGCTGAACCAGGTCTGCCAGCCAGTGTGAGCGGGCTGAAGCAGGTCTGCCATCCAGTGTGAGTGGACTGAAGCAGGTCTGCCAGGCAGTGTGAGTGGGCTGAAGCAGGTCTGCCATCCAGTGTGAG